ATCATTCGATCGCTTTTAATTTCTAATATTATGTGCATTCGCTATGTATCCTAAAATAAATATTTAGGAACTGAAATTAAAGTTTTTAAACTTTTAAAAAGATGAAAGACAAAGGAAAATATTTTACCAAGATTAAATAAAAATTTATATATTTTTATTAGAACAATAAATTATTATTTCAAATTTTAAAGGATAACAAAAAAAAATCAAAATCAAAATACATTTATTTTATAATTTTATAAAGAATAAAAATATATTTAAACTGTGAATACTATGTGTTTATAATATTTTACTACATTTACCAACTCAAATTATAAATGTATCATAATATAATATTTGTGCATAAGCTAATGAACTTTTTAAGTTTAGTTTTGTTCTATTTATAGGTATGAATCCTTCACTCCATAATGAAAATTCGTGATTTAAGCAAAGTTTTGTTGATTAATTTGCTTTGGTAATATATGGTTGAGTATCTTCATTTGTGGAATGCATATTAATAATATTTATTTTTAAAAAATTACAATAAATAAATGTTAATAATTAATATAAATTCATCCTTTACTAATGCAAAAAGTTCATTTCATTTCACCTAATATGCTTCGGATTTAGGAAAAAATAAAGTATATCAAAATACGATGACATTTTTAAAATTGTTGAAAATATTAAGGTTTCAATTCTTTGAAAAATTGAAACATATATAAAACGACTCCAATTGTTCGGAACCGATGCCGAAAGATTTTTAATAATTTATAAAATGTTATTATATTTAAAAAATTTTATTTTAGTGACAAATTTTAAGACTTAATTCTTTGTAAAATTCAAATCCATTAGTTTATAGATTTTGATTTTACAAAGAACCGAAATCTAACTGTGTTTAGAATTAATTTTCTTGAAATTTTACAAAAATGTTAAGTTCATGTTCTATTGCGTCACTATAGTAATCTGCATTTCCAGATTCCTATTATTGGCTTAACAATTTATATTTAATATGAGTATATTTTTCTAATATGTTGTTAATTTATTTTTTTTATGTTAGATATATGATTAATTATATGTTTAAATATATAGATTTATTTTATTGATTTGAGATTGTTTTCACATTGATTATCTTTACTTTTTTATTTGAGATTCAATATGAAAAATATTTTTTGTCTCCATTATTTTGAAAATATTGTATTTTTAAAACATTTAATATAAGAAGAGACAATATTAATAATTTGTATATGTATTGAATTTGATTGGATAATTCAAGAAAGTTAATTATTTTTTCATAGTTTATATATATATATATATATATATATACTAAAAAAACCAAAGTTTTTTCTCTCTTTAAATTTAAATGAATTATTTTAAAATTAGAAAAGGATTAGGCTTCTATTACTACAATAACCCTAAAGCCTTTTTGTTTTTTTGTTTTTCATTTTCCATCTTTTTTTGACTGTTTTATGCTTTGTTTTCTTTTTTTTCATTTTCCATCTTTTTGTTCGGAAAGTCAGAAGATTTCTCTTTTTTACTTAGTTTGGATATGCTTCTGTTGTGGATCTGAAATAATGTCTAAATCTAGTATCAAAACTCTTGGACTAGTAATTGAACAAGCAAATTATACATTATTGATTATAAGTAATTAGTGATTAAGTGTATGATTTTGAATAGATTATATATTTTTGCTTTTATCTTTGTTCTAAATATAAAAAAAAATTGCATTTTTATAATTTTAAGACTTAGTAATCAAGTTAGTAATCAATTTTAGTTTGAAGGAAATATGGATTTTAAGAGACATTAACACAGGGAGTTTAAATTCCTAAATCAACAAGCACAAGCTTTCCACTTTTAGATATAAGAGGCTTATGTCATACATATGTATATACTTAGAATGTGTAATGTTATTCTAATATTTAGATGCTTTATATGATGAAATTATGCATGAACATTTTGCATCAAGAAAATATCTTAATCCATCATTCTCTAACAAATATCATGTTTAATATTGTTTTCAAGCGTATAGTCTTCCTTCTTGTAGAGGTTTCATAAAAAAATCAGCTAGCTTATTTTTGTGGTATAATCCTCTTTTGAACATTATCTTTGATATAATCATGCTTAGTTTCAATATGTTTCACTCTAGAACATAGGATGAGATTTTTATACATAGTAATGACATCATTGTTATCATATAAGATAGGAATGTTTCATTGTAGTCTTTTGGTTGGTTCTTTATTCATATAAGTTATGAACAACCATTAATAATTAATATACACTCGAGTTTTGGTCTTTACTTTCTTACTTATCCATAAATCTAGGTTACCTCATTTCAAGTGACATTTTCCACTTGTATTTTTCTTTTATAATTTCTCCACATTGTTTGACATTGAAATTCAAGCAAGTTAATTTTTTTTGTTCTCTATCCCTTTTGATTTTGAAGATGAATATGTTAAAGAGTTTATCTTTTAATTATTTTAGGTTTGAGTTATAATTTTAGTGTTTTATGTATTGTAAGTAAGTTTTAATTCTTTGATCTTAATAAATTTTGATTAAAATATTTTTAACAAATGTTTTGAACTTAAAAACAATTTTAAATAAAATTCAATGTAGAATCTAAATATAAATAAATTTAATTTTTTTAAAGTATTTAATAAAAATATAAATTTTAATAAAAAGTTTTGTAAGACATTTATATAAAAATTAAATTTTGTTTCAATTTAGTGACAAATTAAATTTTGTTTTAATTTAGTGAGGAAATTGCTTATTTTTTTAAAAGAAATTAAAACTGAATTGACATAAAATAAAAATAAAGAGATTAAATTGAGATTAAAATAATGACATTTGATGTTATCCTGTCACAAGCACGTGACACATTTTTTTACTTTTAAAAAATTTAAAAAGTATTTTTAATTTTTTTTTTATAAAAAAAAATCACAAACTTATAATTGTGTTAGTGTATTATTAACGAAATGAAAATTTTTCAAAATAAAAACTAATTTGAGACAAATAAAGGTAAAGAGACCGATTTAATACTTCCCAACAAATGAATGGAATGATTTATTTGATTATAATTTCACCCACTAATTTTCATTATGAAAAAATTGGCTCCAATTATTATTTTAACCAAAGAAATTAAAACATCAACTCACAACATATTATAATAAAATACAGATCATAATAAAATAAAAGTAATTTATATTTTTCTAATGATCTTAAAGTTAACGGATATTTTAAACAACTAACATAATATTTAATTTTAGTGTAATAAAATAAAATTCTTACAAGGGCGAATACATTATGTAAACTCTTCAAACTTCTTCAAAAAAATTTTGTTATTCTTCAAATTGAGAGGTTCTAAATTCACATTTCTTTAAGACTTAAGAGGATATGTATGCAAAAAACACTCTAACGTTCAAGTTAGTTAAGTGCGTCAGACACCGATTAGTGTTATAATAATGAACGTACATTATTTACCTTGATGACTATACTATTTATAGAGTAATTATAATGTTTGTGCGTCCTTACCTATATGGACTGGTGGGGTCAATGACCCATTTACCTCATGAACAAGTTGATTGATCCAAATTCTGCTAAGTTACAAAGTAATACGCTATTAGCATTATTATTTTGAAAGGTAGTAGGATTGACCGATTTATGGTCGGGTAGTGATAGTTATACAGGTCGGCTTGTGATCAGGTAATTGACCATTAGCTTTGGTAAGCGACACATAGTTCTGATAAACAACATGTAGCCTTTGACAGGCATTACCTAGTTATAGGTGACTCCTAATTTTGGTAGACAACACATAGCCCTTGACAAACAATATTTAACTCTTAATAGGTCACATATAGGTCTCGGCAAGCAGTATACAAGCCTTGTTAGACAACATATAGGCCTCGACAATTATCATATAAACCTCGATAAGTAGAATATAAGTTTCAGTATACAAGATATATGATATATTTTGTTCTAAACTATCCTAAAACGAGATTAAAATTATAAGACCGAAGAGTGATAGACCATTTACAGTACAAAAGATATAAAATATAAAAATATAGCAAATTCTTAAAAGTTAAGATAGATAAGCATGTATAAGTTTAGAGAAAATAAACATTGAAAATATAAATAATGTAACTTTTATTTTTAATATTTATTTATGAGTGCGTTTTAACTTTGAATTATATTATTGCCTACTCATTATTGTTTTTGCATTTTTACCGAATGAGTGAATGAGAATTCTTCTAAAACAACATTTGCATTTTTACCGCGAATGAGAATTCTTCCAAAACAACATTAAAAACAGTTATTTCATATATCAATTAGTCTTAGTTCATGTAAACTGTGCATTTTCTAAGTTATTTTATATATACAAATACTATATTACTTTTATTAAATCATTTAATATGTAGTAGCACATTAAAAGTTTTAGAACATAAAAATATATTACTATTTTATTTTAAGAAACTTTTATAGTTATTCTTGTTAACCATAATTCCTAGACCATCTAATTTTTGTAGGAAAGGAATTTGACATTCTTTCTTGATTTTGATTTCTAGATATAAAAAAGAATTACCCATGTTAAAGTTTTTTTTATAATTTGTGTGTAATCAAATTTGCTTGAAAATGTAGATTATAATTTATTGATATTTTAATCGAGTCAAATTAAATGTCTGTGTGTTAAATTATCTTCCATTTTGATACTTAAAAAGAAAATATTGATTGTACTATTTATATAATAATTTCGTATGCTTATTATATCTGGTAACATTTTGTAATGAAATTCCACGGCATAATCATATATTAAATTTAAATATTATTTATACTCATTTCCTTATTTACATTACATCATACCTTAGATACCTTTATTGCATTAACTTAATAAAAAAATAAAATAAATAAAATGTAAAATTAACACTTGCAAAATGATATTCTAGTAATATTCTTGGAGAGAAAAAAAAAACATATTATTTGTTTACCATCACTTTAGTTATGGACCCTACCCGCACTAACTAAATGAAGTTTTGTGAAGTGCAGCTTTAGGGTTGCCAACTATATATTTAGACCCACCCTTTTCACTTTCCTTCGTCTTCATGTTCATTCTTCTCTTCTCTCTTTCCCAAGGAACCAATTTACTTTCAATTCATCCAAAAACCTTGTAACCATGTCTTTTCCTCTAACTATCTTTCTTCCAAACATGTTGTAAAATCCCCACTCTCACCTTAGCATTTTCAAACAAACTCACAACTCCCCTGTTTTTTTTTCCTCTGTTTTTTTGACATTTTCACTGTTCAGTGTTGACACGCGCAAATGTCTTCCTCTAGTGTCTGCCAAGGGTTGCAATCTTGTCTCGAACCCTGCGTAATGGAGCCACGTGTACTCAGTCTCAAACTTGCACTACAACAAGGTTCCAATTTTCCTCAACCCTCTCCCACCACTGCCAACAACACCAACACAAACTCAGTTTCGCTTTCGTCTCTCTCTGCCTCTCTCGAAAAACCACTCACCAACCATGAATGCGACGAGGGCCACACAGAATCCAAAGAGGGTAGGGGCTGGAGTATCCTTCAAACTCTCTCACAATCTTCCGACTGTCACAACAAAACAGAGGACTCTGTCTACGTCCACCCCACAGTTAAACGCTCCTCCTCAATTCTCAGTGACAAAAGCTTGGAAATGTGCACCGAAAGCCTTGGCAGCGAGACCGGTAGCAATGCCGGCGACAGCACCGATGACATCTCCTTGTTCTCTTTTGACGCTGCCATATATAGTACTCTTACTTCTACTACTACTACTACTACTGATGTTACAACTACCGTTGCAAGTTGGGAGTCCAAAAGAGTGAACCGGGTTTGCAACTTTCCACCGCCACTTACCACAATCACTGATTTGGGTGGCGTTCAAGTCCGGCCACGTCGCGAAGGAGGAAGGCTGATATTGGAAGTTGTGGCTTGTCCTTCTCCTTGCCCTTATTTCCGGGCTGAGCGCGAAGATGGTAGGCTCAGGCTGTGTTTGTTTGAGAAATTTTCGGACAGTGAAGATGAAGTTTGTGATGTTGAGGAAGGTGTTGAAGAGAAAGAAGAAGAAGAAAATGAAAACGAGAAAAGCAGAGAAGAGTGTGATGCTGAGGATAGCGGGGCGGAGGAGTGTGTTGAGAACGTGGATGAAGAGATGGGAGTGACGAAGTTCTCGAGACCAAGCAGTTGCAAGGAAAGTGGGAAAAGAGAGATTTTTTGTGATGGCTTGGCTAGTTTGAACTTCCCTCTCTTTCTCTCTGTTTCTGAATAGAATTTCGTTTACTGCTATTATCCATTCTCTCTCTCTCTCTTGTTTCATTTTCTATTTAGGATTGGAAGATGATCAGTGCTTCATGTTTCAGAATGTCCTAATGCTAGTTAGTTATTATAGGTATTAGTTATATTGGACATCGTCCTTCTGTGGTGTTTGTTTCTTTTCTCTTTATTAATTTTTATTGTAGGTTCGGTGTTGCTGTCTTGTTTTTTTTTGTTTTGTATATTTATTTGGCTTTTCCTGTTCCTAGAATGCCCCGAAAGCATATTATTTCTTGACAGCAAAATTACAAAGTGTGATTAGCATTGCAGACGCCAGAAAAAGAAAATGGAAGGAATAGTCATGCAATGGGGTATGCAGATCCCAATCAGCATATAATGACATCAAATCATTCACACCATATTTAATTGCTTTCTTTTGAAGCCCTTTTATCTACACGTACAAGTCTTAAAAGATACTAACAAAATCATTGAGCCTTTGGTTTATTGTCTCGAGATTATTGATTTTGGATTAAAGTTCAGTACAAAGAACTTTACTTTCATAGAAGTTTTGCTTGATTCAACAAGTTTCTTAATTGAAAGACACGATAGAGATAACACAAAACAACAGTCGTAAAATGGTTATGATGGGGCTTTGTGTGTGTTTTTGTTTTATCTTGCTACAAATCAAAACGAGGGAAGTAGTCTTTTTCCTTTTCACACAGTGTTGACAATGGTTAGGGTAATAAAATAAAATAGTGTTAGAATTGGGGTCTCACGTGAGTCTCTAATGACAGTGGCTATTAGAAGCAAATCCCAATCCAATAAGAGTGGGTGCAATGCTTATTCTGAATAGGAAAATGGGGTAGCAAATCTGAGTCGTGGATGGAAAAGCATTGATGAAGATGATAATTGAATGGATGATGTAGTCGGAGAAGAATGTCAGTTAGAGCAACATGGGTGGGCTAGCTAGGAATCTTGCTCATGGAAGTGTTGGGTTGGGGCTTAGAAGGAGTGAGAGATATGAAAAGTGCATGGCTTCTTAATCTGGTAATAAATCAAAGAGGCAATTGAAAAAAGTATTGCTGCACGTACCTCCTCGTTCAAGAGCAAACCTAAAACAAGTGGTGGTGTACGGATTTAGTACCAATGCCCGGTAACTATCAAAAGGAGGGAGGGACCCCAAAACAGTAACGTGGACTGACTTCATCACTTAGTATCACCCATGTGAATGCCTTCCCGCTCCTCTCAGTCCATCATGTTATCGACGCATTCTAAATTGCACATATGGCCCTACTCTCTTCCTTTACTAAACCATTCTTATCTCACCTAAGCATTTCATCAAACACATTCTATACAATCACGTTTCATAACAATCATCAAAATTTATATTGAATGTCATTAGTTTTTATGAAATGAAGTAGGAGAAACCTATGACTAGAAAAAGAAAAGTGTAGGTGATACCCCTAGTGGCATTGATGTGACCCTGAGCTTGTTAAGGATTAGAGATGAGTGAAGTTGGGTGAGGTTCTTTAAAATCGTGGAGTCTCTGCATCCATTCGTTAGGTTGTTTTTGTTGAGGGTTTGGATGACAGTGGATGGAAACTTTGAAGTATCACATGCATCATTTGGTCCCTAATATCATGTGCAGTAGGAACCTTATTTTATATATTGCTTACTTTTAGCACATATATTCTCTCACCATGTCATGTCACCCTAGGAAAAATCCTTGGGGCAACTAGCTAGCTGCCATGTCCCTTCAAATTATGGATCCTAAATTTTTCATACTCGATCCTTTTTACACACCTCTGTCACTCAGTGTCAATATCTAACACTCTAACTAAATGTTCTAATAAAGCATGTTTTCCTTTCCCCTTCTTTCTTGTTCTCTATCTTGTTCATATGATTCAGTAGACAGAATCTGGACTGGAAAATACCAAAATGTAGCACATTACACAAGCATTGTATTTATCATTATAAATACTGTGATACTATGTAGTGATATTATGAGGAATGATTAAGAAAAACAGTTGTGTTGGCATGTAATACTGAGGTCGATCAGAGTTGAACTGATAAAGTTTAGTGTCCGACATTCTTTGTTAGGGGTGGGAGTTAAGAACATTTTACACGTGAGGACAGACATGTATGGCACCTCGCAGTTGCAGATGGATCTCATACACATGGTAAAAGCAACAAAATACTTGCGCGCAACTCTGAGAATATGGAATGTACTTAGGGATGAAAATGGACATCAGATAATATTTATCTTTATCTAATTTATAATAAAAAAATCTATTTATTATTCATTATATACTCGTTTAAAAATTATTTATGAATATTTTAAAATTTGTAAAAATACGTCCGTATTCATAATATTTTAAATAAATATTTTATAAAATTTTAAAATAAAATTTTAAAACATAATATAAGCTAAATTAAAATTTAATTTTAATTAAATTTAATCCTTAAAATATAAATTAGTTTTAATTTTAATTAAATTTAATTTAATTATAAATTCAATTTTAGTTTTAAATTTTTGTAAATAATGAATACATATAGATAATATATCGCATTCAATTTATTTATAAATAGATATTAAAATATCCTATTTATAAGTATCAACTCTCTCTTGATGAATTTTATTGACAAATATTTATAGATATAAGTATTTATTTTCTTATCCATAATCATAGTTAAGTATTTAAAAATGGATAAAATTCAATTAATTAATTATTTTTTTATGGCCAACTGTAAACTTGTAAAATACAATTATTCTTCAGCAATAGACTTGTTCTGAAAAAAGAAATTATTTACTGCCATGTAACTGAATTTCCAATGTCGAAAAAGGTTAACTGCTTTAAAAAATTGACTGGAATTTGGTCTCTTTAAATTAGGATGCCAGTCAGGTTTTTAAATTCTTTTTAAATGAGAAAACGACGAGGAAAAGAAAAAAATAATTAACTAAAATGTTGAATTTAATTTTAATTTGGTTTGAGAAAAAACCAAAAAAAAAAATTTTATCTAAATAAATTACAGAAATTTTTTAGTAAATTTTAATTGGATTTTTTAATTTAATTTTAAATATAAATTATCGTTAATAATGTAATGGTTTATAACATAAAAGTATTACTTAAATATTAATAAATAAAGTGATTAAAAAGTATTTTAACATATTATAAAATAATATTTTGAATTATGTTTATGATGAGTTAAATTATTTAACAATTTTATTATAAAGAATATAATTGAAATGAATTGAAAAAATAATTTAAAATATAATATAAAACATAAAGCGATGCGATAATACTTAAGAGTAACGATTAATTTAGACTATGTAAGATAAATTTAATTTAATTCTATTTAAATAAAATATTTGAATTTTAACTTAATTTATTTTTATTTTTATTGAATATTTTTCATTTGGAAGGAATTTTTAAAAATAAAAATATTGGAATGAAAATTCATTAATTAAAATTTGAGATTTTTTTTATAGAACAATTTTAATATAATGATAAACTTTTAGTCTCTATAATGGTGATAGTTTCAAACTGACAAACATGTTTATTGTATTAGAGATTGTGACACGATGATTATGATGGTTGTGACTGAATACTATAATAAAATATCTTATTTTTATTTTGTGGAATAATTTGGAATGAAGCGGAAGAACTATATGCTTAATTCAAAGTGTTAGTTACATAAATTGCTTGCAAGTATTGTTTAAATATAATGTTGTTAGATTAATTGCGAGCAAATTAAATGAAAAATTAGATGAATTTGGATACAAATAAGTATTTTTTTTTATCTTTCACAGTTATTGTGATGCCAAGATCATGAATTCTCCACTTGTGAAAGAATATATTTTAACATTATTTCCACATCCAATTTTTTTTATTTCATTTAATATTATCTTTCATTATTTTTTTCTTTTATAAATATATAAAATTATTTTTATAATTATTTTATCTATACATGACTTTAGGATTAATCGTCATAGTATTGTGTACTTTTTTTTTTTCATTTACAAATATAAAAGTGGATAAAGTTACCTTTTCAGTCATTATTTCTAGTACAATCACCTCCATACTTAGTTTTACACAAAGAAACAATAAAACAAACTGATCAGTTTTAGACTCTGAAAATTCATTAAATAAATTTAGAAAATTAAATACCAAAAAATAACGTAGAAAATCTCACAAATAATGGAAACTTTGTGAAGTGTGTTATTAGTATTAAAAACAGATGAAATAAGAGATATGTTTTTGGAAATTAAAACATATCACTTATCTATGTTTTTACGAAAATAGTTGCAAAAAACTGATGAAAAGTGTACGAAAATAAAGTTCGCATAACTGAAAAAGACTTCCAACTTTAGATAAAAAAAATGTTTTTCATAATTAGCTTCCTAATTATCGTTATTGATAAAATCATTAAAGAAAAAATAACTTGGACAACTATTAAGAATCATAGTAACGTTTCTATAAGATAATAACTTTTATATTATTGTCACAGTAATATAATAATGGTTTGTGTAGCAACCATCCTCGTATCTATTATTAACATATTTCAGAAAAAACAAATATGGGCATACTGTAAAAAATTATCCACACATTTCAAAAAAATAATTTATGGACATACTCTAAAAATTATCAACACATTTCAGAAAGAAATTGTGGATTCACTCTATAAAGTGGGTATAATAAGAAGTCTAATTAAAAGTTGAATACAGTGACAATTGTAGTAAGAATCATCATCTTAAGTAATGTTCTTTTCTTAATGTTGATTTTATTTTATGGCTTCCCAAAGGATGTATTCAACTATATATATCACGTATCAATTTCATAAGCACAACTAATTAAGTTCCATAATACCTCACATAATTTATAAAATATTATCAAACATTGAAGTGTCGCTATAAATATTGATAAAATATTTTGTTCACATTTTTTAATGTTCAATGCTTGTGAACTCAACCATTGTACATTGTTAGAAAACTACAATAATTTACTTCAGAATTTTTATAATTATCAAAAGATGCTTACTC